CTGTTATTAGTGTTAAAAGATAAGGGTTCGCGTGGAGGGCCTTACCTGCATGTACAGTGGGCTCACTTTGCTTGGTTAATTTGTATCATAAGCTATAACCCAGTTTCAAGAACCCTCATTTTATCATATTTTGAAATTGGTAATATTTCTCACAGTCCAGTTGTCTTGCAACAGTTCCAGTGTCTTTGATGGTAGTCAGGTAGTGACTACCTCTCAAAAGACTTCCTAGCAGCACAAAGGTGGTTGGACTTACTGGCAAGGTAATCTATCATGGCGGACCTTGTTCAGTATCAGTGCATTTTTATTTGCTTCTTTCTCTAATTTCGGAACTGTAGCTATTATTGGCTTCCTTCTTTGATTCCTATCCTATAGCTACCATTGAGTATAACTTTACTGTCTACACTTTATATAGAAGCTTAAGTAAATAAATAGTCGCATAACTACACTTTATATAGCGGTGTGAGGCTTGTGAGGTTGTTTCGATTCAACACGTACCTGGCATTTAGAATCTTTGACCAAATCAAATTTCGGAATTAAATTTAAACCAGCTAAGCGAGTCATAAAACCAAAATTAATATGACATAAGTGCGAAAGCCAAATATTTGTCTCATTAACCTGGCTCACATGGTTCACAGAATTAACACATGCATCATTTAAAGACAAGCGAAACAAGCCTCTGCTCTCATAGCCTTTTTCAACAAAAGCTCCATACTTAGAAAATACGCACTTATTCGACTCAAACACAAGTTTATAACCATTACGACATAATAGATAGAGAACCACTAATCAAATTCTTCCTTATTGAGGGGACATGCTGCACGTTCTTTAGCTGCACGGTCTTTCCCAAAGTAAGCTTCAGATCGACCATACCAACACCACGTACAGCCACACGCGCCCCGTTCCCCATCAACAACGAGGAAGTCCGCCCGACCTAATAAAAAGAAAATAAAGAGATATCAGTACACACATAAATATTAGCGTATATTGAAGGATGGGTCGTCAGGCCTGGCCCGCTAAAAAGGTCCAACCATAATACTCGCCAAGATTTTTATAAAAAAACACTAAGATGCTTAGCAAGTCACAGACGTTGCGAACTGTGAAATCCGGAGATGCGCCTAGCCTACCAGCAGCAAGTCATCTCACGGCACCGCTGACCGAGAGCACGCGTGGAGCACACATCGGTGTTGCCGTGTTGCTCACCGCCCGCCGGCGCACAGGCGGAGGCTGGACTCTGACAGCCAGGGTTCAAAATTTCGGCGAAATTTCGGCCGAATTTCGCGAAATTCGGTAATTTCGGTGGTGGCCGAAAGAAAACTCCGAAATTTTTTAATAAACTAATACATGTGCTATATAACTCTAATCTTATATTTTTCTATTGTTTATATTGCATATTCTTCTATTTAATAGATATGTAGTCATAAATCATACTAATATTTGTTTAGATCCAATTTTTTTTAGAAAAAAACATACTTCATGTGCTAATCTCTAAAAAAATTTCGGCAAAATTTTGGCCGAATTTCGCGAAATTCAGTAATTTTGGTGGTGGCCGAAATTTTGGCGATACCGAAATTAAAAACCTTGCTGACAGCGGCCAGCGCGGACGGGTAGGCAACGGGATTCAGATCGGCTGACTTCACTGGAAACGACGTTTGGCTGCAGTCGTCAAAATCAGTCCATCCACTCCCCATCGGAGGGCTGCAGCAGGAGACGAATGCTTACAGCTATTTGGTCCTCGGCCCATGAAGAGACGGCCTGTTTGTGCTCTCGTTTTTTTCCTTTTGACGCAGAGATGCTTTTTGGCACGGCCCCTGACTCCTTTGGGGCGAGGCTGCTCATGTTTTTGGCGCGAACCGCGAGGGGAAGGCACAAGGCGATCGTCTTCGTCGTCATGCGTGCTCAAGTGCCGGCCGGCCATCGTCTCGTTGTTCTGCATCCTCACGTGCGTGCTTAGGTGCCCAGGTGCTCAGGTTCCAGGTTACTCTGATTTGGTTCCTTTTTGTCCTCCCTAGTGACTCATTCTATTGTTTAGGGTTTGATTCAATGGAAAATATGTATGATTGAGATGAAAAATCCGCATCAAAACTAAATCTAGATATTTAAGATGGAAGAGAAAAGGTGTGTTACACCATGGCTTTTCATTTTTGTCCATGAGATCCTATAGTTGTTCACATTTTTACTTAGCAGCACACATAACATTTTCTAATCATTTATTTGTAGAGAGTGTTTCATTCCTAGATTGTTACCTCAAGTTGGCATGAAATTCAGTAATGTAAATGAGGCCTGAATGTTTTGGGTTAGTTATGGAGGTCAAAAGGGCTTTGAGGTTAGAAAAAGATACACAAACAAAAGAAGTTCAGATGGAATAGTTAGATCCTACTGATATGTTTGTGCAAATGAGGGTCATAGAGTGGAAGATAAAAGAGGTCGTCTAATAAAGTGTCCAAGAGCTGAAACTAGAATCGATTGTCAAGTTCGCATGGGTCTTGTACTAGACCAGGAGAAGGAAAATTATAAAGTGGCTGATCTGATTTTGGAACACAATTACGTCCTTCAGTTGCCACAAACCTCACACTTGATGGTGTCTCAAAGGAAGATTTCAGATTTACAAGGTTTTGAGATTGAGACAGCAGATGATGCAGGAATTCGGCCCAAATTGGCACATGAGTTGGCTACTATCCAAGTTGGTGGCTCGCTTAATCTCAGTTACACACTCCGTGATCACAAGAACTATTTACGAGGCAAGCGGCAACGAGAGATGGCATATAGTCAAGCAGGAAGCATGCTTATGTGCTTTCAGGAGAAAATTGCTGAGAGCTCATCATTCCAATATGCATTGCAAATGGACCAGGAAGAATAAATAGCAAATATTTTCTGGGCTGATACTAAAATGCTCACTGACTATGCATATTTTGGTGATGTTGTTAGTTTTGACACTACTTTTGAAACAAACAAAGAGAGTAGACCTTTTGGTGTATTTGTTGGGTTCAATCATTTTAGGGAAACAGTGGTTTTTGGTGCTACTCTAATGTATGATGAGACATTTGAGTCATTCAAGTGGTTATTTCAGACCTTCCTGAAAGCACATAATAGAAAGCAACAAAAATCAATCTATACTGATCAAGATTATGCAATGGGAAAAGCAGTTAAGGAGGTGTTTTTAGAAGCATGGCATGGTTTGTGTACATTCCATATTATGCAGAATGCTGTCAAACATCTTGCTGAAAATGAAGAATCAAGTGTTTCTCCTAAAAATATAGTTGAGGGCAGCAAGAAGAAAACAAGATCTTCAGCCAAAAATGTAGATGAAGGCAGCCAGGAAGAACCTAGTATTCTCGCAGATTTTAGTGCATGTATGTATGAGTATGAAGATGAGGCAACATTTGATCATGAATTCAATATGATGAGGACAAAGACGAACAAACAAACTTGGTTGGATAGTATATATAAGTTGAAGGAAAAATGGGTTGAATGTTTCATGAAGAATGTCTTCACATTAGGCATGAGAAGCACACAATTGAGTGAGAGTCTAAATAGCGATCTGAAGAGACATTTCAAATCTGATTTTGATATAATTCGGGTCCTTAAGCATTTTGAAAGGTTGGTGGAAGATAAACGAAATAATGAGCTGAATTCTGAATTTGAATCAAGGAAAAAATTACCTAGAATCAAAATGAGGACACCTATGCTAATCCAAGCTAGCAAGCTATACACACCAGTAATATTCGAAGCTTTTCAAGGTGAATACGAAAGGTCCATGGTAGCATGTACCACGGCATTAGAAGGTGACCATGAATATCTTATGTCAATTGGGAGTTTTGATGGAACTTGTACATTGGAGAAGGAGTATAAAGTTATTGGTGATCCTATAGAACAAACTAGTACATGCAGTTGTGGGCAGTTTAGTAGAATTGGAATATTATGTGCACATGCTCTAAAAGTCCTTGATTTGATGAATATCAAATCACTACCCACACAATATGTACTCAAGCGATGGACACGTGAAGCACGTAGCGGCACAATACATGACAGCAAAGGCCGAGACATAATAGAGAATCCAAGATTAGATGAAATGATTCATTACAAAAATATGTCGCACAAATTTCAGAATTTAGCACATAGAGCGGCCAGCCATCCAGGGTGCATCTTGTTAGTAAACAATGCACTTGACATTCTTAGCAAGCAAGTTGAAGAAGAAATTAATGGTTGCACTAATAATGTGGAGGCAGTCACAGTTCCCATGAATATTACTCCATCAGGTGATTTGTTGAGTACAGCACGCCTGAAGAAAAAGGATGTGCAAACAAAAACCTCAAAACGCAAAAGAACTTGGCTTGATAAGAAACGCAAATTTGCAAAGAAAGACAGCAAGAAGAATGATAAGGGTTCAATGGTATGTATCTGCACCAAAAACATTATTTGTGTTTAGTTGTAAAAATATTCAGTTGTGTAACTTTTATTCTCTTTTATTGAAAGGCACAAGAATCTGCACCTAAATTGGCACAAGAAACTACAGCAGTACAGGGTATGCCTCCTAGCACTTCATGTCCTAATGAAGGGATGACCGAATCATACTTGACTATTAATGCTTTCTCTGAACTATTGATTGTAATATTTCTAAGTGATGATTTTTTATGTCCAAAAGAATATAAAGAGTTTAATACTTTGTTCTTTTATTCTGCAGAGAGAAAGCACCGGTGATCTTAATGCTGATTTCTAGGGGTGTTTTTGGAGCTTTTGGATTGGTGGTGATGCTTTGCAGATTCATGACCTTTTAGATAATGTGGGAATTGTATAGCTTTTGTTTTCATGGGTGAATTATAAAGTTCAGTCATGATATATTTTTTGCAGCTTCAAATGCACTTGATACTAGAAGCAGTAGTACAAGAACATCTTTATGCAGACTGTGAACTTTCAAAAATCAGCAGTGCCTTTTCTATATTCCAACATCATCATAACATATTTCTGTTACATTCTTATTGCCTTGACTTGTGCTGGCCTGAATGGCATATATATGGTACAAGTGTTCTGGGAACAATTCTTGGAAAAAATCTGTTATATTTCAGATAGCCTATATGCTTCCTAACTGAAACTGCATGTTCTTCTTGCCCACTACAATGTTCAGTGCAGGCATCGGCTCAACAGCTCTTTGTTCAGTACAGGCATCAACGTTCAGTGTAGGCATCGACATCCTGCAATCAAATATGGAGGGTGCAAATCGGAGAAACATCAACAGCAGGTCGCCGTGGCAGTGAGCCCCGGCGCGGGGCAGGGCACCGGCGCGGGGCAGGAGCTCCGCCGCGGGGGCAGGGGCGTCGCGCGGGGCGGTTGCTCCGGCGGGGTGCGCGTCCTCCGGCGAGGGGCGCGTCCTCCGGCGGGGGCCGGGAGCTCCGGCGTGGCGGGCACGGCCGCACGGGCTTCGGCGTGGGACGGGGCGAGGGATCCGGCGCGATGGGTGGGTGCTCCGGCGACGAGCAGGGGCTCCGGCGGGGGGCGCGTGCTCCGGCGGTGGTGGGGGTGCGTGCTCCACTGCTCCGTCCATGGCCGCTTGTTGGGAACGATAGGGCATGGAGCCTGGACTTGCAAGAATCCTAATGTGCGTGCTCTGGTGGGCTTCCATGGGCTGGACAAGCAGCGTGGCCTGCTAGATGGAAAGCATGGAGAGTCAAACCGTTGGATGCAAACGGAAGGTTCGTTTTTTGCGACTGCAGCCATACATCGATGGGGTTGAAGTCAGCCGATCTGAATCCTAGGCAACGGCGCAACGCACAGCACCACTGCCGCAGTAGCCCAAGCGCATCAAAAAGACATGTACTATGTACGGAGCATGCCATCTCAACGCCATTCTTCATTCTTGGGTCGTGTCGTATCTGCCATGTTTTTTTTCTTCTTCTAGAAGAAAAAATGTGCCTGTGGGTACGACTGTACGAGCACCCATAGCCGTTTTCTAAGTACTGTACTGAGGATTTTCAGCGCCATTGATTTTGTCGGTTTGGAAGGGCGGGCCTGGTGTAAACGGTAGAGTCTTACCGTCTGTGACCGGAAGATTTCGGGTTCGAGTCGCCGTCTCCTCGCATTGCACAGGCGAGGGTAAGGCTTGCCACTGACATCATTTTTCAGACCCCGCACAGAGCGAGAGCTCTCTACACTGGATACACCCTTTATTTTGTCGGTTTGGTAGGCACTTGGCCTCTTGGAAAGGTAGACGAGTGACGTTGACTGAAATCCAATCCAAAATGCTCTCTTAGGCTCTTCAAATCAAAGGTTGCCTACCAGGCAGCAGCCACCAAGCGTCCGATTTCAACTGCCTGTGGCCAGGATGGCTTGCCTGGCAGGCAACTGCCTGGGAGGCTCTGTTCCTCCTGGCCGGCCGATGGGGTCAGCATAGAGCAGAGCACCGTGCCACCGCCGACGCGCCCATCGACGACCATTCCGTTATTCTTCCCATTGCGTGCCGTCACTTGTCGCCTTGTCTGTTGGCGGGAAAGCCAGATGGAGATGGCCAAGCTGCTGTCGCTTTCCGTGCAACCTTGTTCCTGTTCGGGTGGGTGTGCAACGGCCAACGAGCCAGCGGGCAACAGCTTCGGCTCGGAACGTTTGATTGGGCGATGGGTCCGTGTCTTCACCAACAACGCGCGCCTGATCATTGGTAAATCCATTTATCCATGGGAAGTGGAAAGCATCAGCGACGTTTTCTATCTACAGTGTCGTTATTTTTTTTAAAAAACAAAGAAACAGAAATGCTATATGGCAACAGAACATTTTTTTGGGGGATTTCACACGCGATTTCTGGACGTCCGATGAGCACGGAGACAGCGGTGGAAGCCATCCGATTCGTGCCCATGACGCCGTCTGCTCCTCGCTCACACCCGTCGTCTTCTTCCTCACCAGCGGCCGTCGTCTTCTTCCCCAGCTCCGGCGCGGCGGCTAGGGTTCCGGCAAGCCTCTCCCCCTCTTTCTTCTCCAACTTCGACGGGTATAGAAGGAGCCGGCCAAGGGAGGTAGAGGCAGGGCATGTGGTGGGGATGGTGGCCGGACGGTTTAGGGGCCCTGGCCATGGTGGAGGCGACCAGGCCAGGGAGGGCGGGGGCGTCACTGCGTCATCGGCGAGGATGGCTATGGCGGAGCTCTGGCGAGGGGGGGGACGAGCGGAGAATGGCGGCGGCGATCGGAGAAGGAAGAAGAACAATGGCAAAAAATCATGTGTGGGGTGGAGGTCAAAACACGCGAATAACAGATAGACAGACAAACTCCAAAGAAAACATGAGTGTGACAGAGTTTATCAAATATGACGGCGGAATGGCACCGCGTGAACTAGGAGTGACTCGATGTGGGTTGACAGGAGCTAATGCTTATAATAAATGAAAAACAAACATGAACATTGTTTCCACTGTGCACGAAAAGAAATTGAGACGGCCCACAGTACATGAAGCTAGACATGACACGCCAATTAGGAAGGACGCGCGTTCATTAAGCTGATCATCTCCGATGTTATGGACCACGGCAGCATCTAGCCAAGATCTTTTTCAGGCCCATGTGTCCTAGAGCGGATCTAGCAGTGGCGGAATGAACTCGAGCCGTCCACCCATTGCAACCTGTTGAAGTTTCTCTTTGAGCCTATGCTCAATTTTAAACGTAGTCTAGAAGATATGAAGACCTTCATTTTAGACCTGATGTCAGTCTGTTCGGCTGGGATTATACGATCGTAAACGATCGTAAATTTTCAGCCAGAACAGTATTTTTCTCTCACGCTAAACCAGCCAGCAGTACTTCTTCACGATCCAACAACGAACAGGCCGCATCGATCGATCACACCTCCTTACAAGTACTAGCAAACGAAGTCCAGTGTGAATGCATGTTCTTTTACTATAGCAACAATGTTATGTGTGCGCCAACAGCCAAATTTTGTTCCCGGAAATGGCAGTAATCTGGTTCTGGTTGCTCAAAGGATATGCTACGCCTCAATTGTCACCTGCACACAGAAAAATTGATAACGAACATTCAGGGAATTTCTCAGCATGTAAATAATACCAAAACAGCCGAACATTGCAAAGAGGAAACAGATTCAGCTACTGTAAGATGTAAGCGCCCTCTTCGATAAGTGGCTCCTCCAACGTATGCCAAGAACAATCAGAAGTCCGTCCGTCCCCAAGCGGTCGGCCAAGCCCAGGACCACGCGGCGGTGCTGCCGGCTGCTCAACAGCTGAAGTGCGTCCGGCAAGTTCGGCCGTCACCATCCTGTCGGTCGTAGAGTGCGCGTCGCCGTCGCGCTCGTGAGTCCGTGACCCAACGCCGTAGGAAAGCACGCGGCTCACACGGTCGCAGGACACGAGCCAGGAGGAAACAATCTAGTACATCCCGATCCCCATGTCCGGCGGTCGGCGCTCCCCACCTCAACTCCTCAAGTCACTGAGATTTAGGCCGTCACCTATGAGGCTATGACCTATCCTTCACCCAACCTCAACCTGCACTGCAGGTATCCCGGTTGATGTTCATGTTGGCTAGAACGCAACCCTCGTCAATCAGCATCGATCAGGGCGTCGCTGTAGCAACAGCTCGATCGGCTGCGGGCCTTTGGCGACTGGCGAGTAGCTGCATGCATCGGCCATATCAGTGCACCACCACCTCCAGGCTCCAACTCCCTCCGGCCTGTGCAGCTGATCTCCACTTCTCCTGCCCCCCAAAGAATTGAAACCACACCGTCTCTCTTAAATCTGTCGAGCCCAGGAGTACGAATCGCGGCCCCTTCCTCAAGCGGATGGGTAGGGTCCCCGCTTCAGAATTCCCATTGAAATCTCTTGTTTTGAGGAGCCCAAATCCCAGGAATAGAGAGAACGACAGTAGGTATGTTCATAATATCGATCTAAGTAAATGAACTCACTTGGTGTTGATGTAGAGCAAGGCGAGGATGATGCTCATCAGGCAGGCTGATGCAGCCCCGAGCGTCATATCGGCGAGGAGCCTGATGGTGGCCGTGGCGGGCGCCGGGACAGGCCCGTTGCCAGCGACAGCACCTCCGCCGCCGTTGCCCACGTGCGCATAGACGAGGGTGATGCCCAGAAAGAAGGTGACGGAGGCAACGCAGGGCAAAGCACGGGCAGCACTGGTCCCGAGCGCACGAGCTGCGTGGTCAGCTGCCGCTGCGGGCTGCTGGACGAACAGGACGAACTGGAGGACGCCAACCTGCAGGCACAACACGAAGAAGGCGAGCTCCGAGACGCGCCGACGGCGTGGTGCGTGTGGCGGCTGTAGAGTGTAGATGACCGCCGCGGCGATGAGGACGGCATCCATCCCGGCCAGCGCCAGGATGGCCGCCTTCAGAGCGCTGTCGTCGAAGAGGGGAGGCGGAGCGGACGGGGATGCCGTGGTAGTGGTTCCCGCACTAGTAGTACCCCGCTGGTCGATGCAGGACGGAACTTGGAGAGCCATGATCGACACGAGCAGGGCGAAGCAGGCGATGTTCCGAGCTGTGGCCGCCATGGGTGGGGGGCGTGGTTTCTTGTTCTCGTGGATTCGTGAATCGTGCTGGTCTGAGAGGCTCTAAGCGAGGGGAATGCGGCAGTGGGAACTTGGATGGGGGAAATGCCTCCGGGCTTCCGACAGTCAATTTATGGTGAACTCTGACGTAAGGAGGATTGAACTTTGGAGAGGTAGCATGGAGAAGTTTGGTGGTTGGATAAGCTCGTCAGTTTTACCGGTCTCTTCAAGGTGTAGTTTGCATTAGCATAAACACATTTTGTCCGGAACTTGGTCAAAGGAGAATATTTGAGCTTTGGACAGAAATAGAAGCCAAGATTTTATTGTGTATCAGTGTCACTGTCCAGAAGCACGCGTCGAATTGTGCTCTCTAAGTCATTGACAGTATAATAGCACATCATGTCATCATTTCAGTAGTATCATATTACTCTTATCTTCTTATGTAATCCGTACTAGCTAGGAGTGATCTAGAGAGGTTCATATGCTTGGTGAAACATCGATTCCTATGCGATTTAAAATAAACTGGGAACCTCATTACTAGCTACTATTTGAATTGCCTTTCTTGAAGAAAAAAATCCATACATTTTCCACTCATTCTTAAATACTTAAGATACCTAAACCGCACTTTTTCAAATGATTGTCATTGTTTGCCATTGTTTTACTAGCTCTTTAAGGCCCAGTTATCATTAACGCAAAAAAAAGCACATATGGTTTTGCTAATAATGACCCCTAGCAGACTCTAAATGAAACATATATACGTGTATCAGTATATGGCACATTGGCAATTTACGCTAAAGAGAGGTCCGGCAACACACTTGAAACAAATTCAACCATTCAGAGCCAAACAAAGAAACATGGATCAGCTCAATTATCTTCATTCTCTCCGAGCATATATATGAAAAAGGTAATCGTGCATGTATTAATTAGGCAGATATTAAGGTTTCAGAAATGCTATAGCACAGTTCTTGGCTAGAATGGTAAAGCCCCAAAGGATCTGGCTCCAAGTCTGTATCCACTTGCATGGAGAAAGAGGAGATCAGTCAGGGATGATGTGACCAGCCATAACTGGACAAGGGGTCTTTGGACTTTGGAGAATGGAATCAGTACAGCAAATGGCAGAATTTATTCATCTTTGGGACCTTGTTCAGCAGGTTCAGCTATCTAACCAGGGAGACAAAATTGAATGGAAATGGACAGCAAATGGAGAATATAGTGCTAAATCGGCATATTTAATCCAATTCAGGGGATCCCACTGCACATTCAATGCGAAATCTATCTGGAAGGCGCATGCTGAAGGAAAGCATGGCTCCATGTTCAAGCAAAGATTCTAACTGGCGACAGTTTGGCCAAGCGGAATTGGCCCTGCAACCCTGTGTTTATCAGTTTATGTGGTCAAGAACCTGAATCGGCGACACATCTTTGCCTCCAATGCCCGTTTGATAAAGGAGGAGATTCATCTCAGGAGGCGTGCATGTGGACATCCTTGGGTAGATTAATAATGGCTTGCTTTACTGAGAATATGTGTCAAGTTCTATCTATTATTATGTAACAACTTTTGTAAAACTCTGTTTTGCTTCTTCTCCTTAAATGTTGCACGTATTTTAGTAAAAGGGGAAATAAGCAAAGGCATCTGCAGCTTTCGACTTTCGTGGAATCATCGGTCATCACTTCCCCAAGAATGGAAGATGTGATTTATCCTTAAAAGAACAGTTCAAAATGCGGTGTACTACCCCACCTCCGATCCTTAAACAAACACACAAAACGTACGGAGTAGATCCTTTTCAGATCTCATTCAGGCTCTCCTCTCTGAGCTCTGATCCTTTTTCAGATCTCGCGGTGGATTCTGATTTCTGAGGACCTAGGACTACAAGTACAACTGTATGGAAGGCGTGTTGGACAGGACAGCACGCAAGGCCTGATCCAACCGCAACCGGACGTGCAGCACCCGATCGTCAGTCGATTCTGTTTGTGGTCCTAGTGGATATACGCGTGACGGGAAAAATATTGCGAGCCGCGGCACGATCCCAAGAAGAGGCGGGGCCAGGCGCCCAGGCCAATGGAAATGAAAAAGGAACAAATATCATGTTGCAGCGGCTGTGGCATCCTGACCAGCCTTTGCTTCTCCTAGTCTTCTTGTCCTAACTTATTAGTTCAACCGTCGTCTGATCTGATCCACAACCACAACCTCGAGAATTTTTCAGCTCCTTTGATCACCGTTCGTTTATATCAAAAGAACCACACACACACAAAAAAAAAAGCAAAAGGGAAAATATGGTACCGAACATTGGCATGAATATATTATATTGAATCCTAATCCACACCATTTGTCAAAGTGATGGGTACTTTCCGGGGGGGACAGTAACATCATTTGGCCTGTTCGCTGGTTGGTTTCTGGGCTGATAAGCTCAACTGGTGCTGGTTTGTTGTGAGAGGAAAACACTATTGGCTGGCTGATAAGCCCTGGTTGAAACCAACAAGCGAAAAGGCTGATTGACTCATTGTCCTTTCGGCAGGCCCATAAAATCTCATGTAATCTTTTGAAGGCGCCTTTTGCTTCCCGGTTTATCCGATGATGATGCGTGAAGCCCGCGAAATGCAGCAGCCGTCAGTCTGTGACACTTTCTCTTACGCTCGTGTAGGGGAGGGCGGCTCAGATCGCAAGAGCCCTAGCTTTTCGCCCAAACGCTTGCTAGCAAGTATCCATCGTATACCGATCAAAAAAAAATCCATCGTATACTCTCGGTATTTGTATTCGACGAAATACAAATGCCGTAAGAAATATTCCTTGAAAAAATGGATGCCAACATGGTTTTATCATAACTAGCAAATGGGTCCGTGCGTCGCAACGAAATTTATAGCATGCTGGATGCTTAATATCATAAAGAAATATGGCTTTATCATAATGATGGATGTGGGTAATTTAGAAGGTTACTTTATATTATCGTCCATGATGGCAAAAGATTGGATAATTTAGGTGCAGATCTAGAAGGTTACTTTAGTTACACATTATAGTGGCTGAAATGAGTAAATTCAGATGCATACTCAGTGGGTTACTTCATGCTATTGCTCAAAATGTTACATATGGATTTACCTTTGTTTTGAAAAAAAATTCTCCTATAACATCCAATGTCTATGATGATCAGTCTACCAAATCGATCTTGGTAAGGATTTCGGTTTATTCCACTTCCTCAAACAGCATAAGAGCTGCAGTTCCTCTCATCTCAGGGCTCAGGCTCATCTCCCCCAGTCCCCGGTCCTGCTCAGATCGCGCGTAGATTATGTGTCCCTTTGCCGGCAAAGGTAGCCCCACCCCGTTGACGAAGCTGGAACCATGTATGCTTCACCTGTGCACACGAAGCAATCATTCCGATCGAACGAAGGGGTAGGTTTCAGACCAGATGCGGTGCAACCTTTCGCCGCCGGATCTTATTGCAGATTTGCGTGACGGAGAGGAGCTGATCACCAATGGGGTGAGAGGTAGCACGCAGGAGTAACAAATATCGTGTGACAATAATAAGCCGAGTCATTTCACGGCATTGGCATGCATCCTGGCGTCTCCCTTATCGGTTATTACAGCCTTGCGAAAAAGAGCAGTGGCCAGTGGATCACGCACGTGGAGGAGCCCAACGTTTTGGTGACCGTCAAAGGCCTTCTAGAGCGAAAGCTTGAATCCTTCCACAAATTCTTTGACTTGATCGCGTGCGTGATTCAGCACGTGACACGTAGTGCCAGCGAGCTCACCACTCTCATATGTAGTTTGTAGCCTTTGTGCTTGTGCCTGCCAACTCCAATGACCATCCGGCGCACTGAACTCGTCAGTCCTTGCGACATTCCCTATAAAATTCACTCCACACTGCTCACAGAGTCACGGCAGCACAGGACGGGAAGGAAGTCGCGAGACGACAGAGAGAGAGAGGGGGTGATCCACATCCACATGGCGGAGGGCCTCGTTCCAAGGATCATCGTCCTGGCTCTGGGCGCCGGGACGTTGGGGTTCCCCGACGCGCTCTGCGTCCTCCTCGACATCGCGGGGCGGCGGAGCCCCCTAACCGACATCGCCATCTGCATCTTCGCCATGGCCGTGGTCACCGCCCAGGCCCTCGGCGCCATGCTGCTGGCGCGCTTCGTCCGCAAGGCGCGCGCTGGAGGTCACGCGCCGCCGCCGCGCACGGACCGCTTCGCGCAGGTGACCCTGGTCGTGTCCCTCGTCGTCGCCTTCCTCGTCTCCGCGTGCCTCCTTGTCGCGTCCGGCGCCGGAGGCCTCGGCCTGCTCCACCTTGTTGCCGACGTCGCCAGGAAGAGCCCCGTTATCGCAGCCCTTGCCACCGGCGCCGCCGTCCTCCCCGGCGCCAGGCCTCTCCTCCGCGTCGTCCGCGAGGAGGATCACTCGCAGTCGCACGGCGCCGCCGCTGCTTCGAGGTCCACGGGGGCGGGGCGCTTCGGCAACATGACCCAGGTAGCAAGCTTCACCGGCGTTGCAGCGGTCGTTGGCACCATGCTTCTTGCCCGCTTCACCCGAAAGGCGCGTAATGCCGCCGGCGCAGGTGGCCGCGGCGCTGCCCCTGCTTCTGCCGCGGACACGCGGCGCGTCGACGGCAAGCTGACGAGGCTGGCCCCGTACCTGGCCGTCGTCGCCTTCGGCCTCCTCTGCTGCCTCGTCCTCACCACGGATGCCCCGCTCGAGAGCGGGCCCGACGGCGCCAAGTACCCATGACCATGCTCTGCTTTGATGTTTGTGTCGTGCGCGTCGACCTGGAAGAGGAAGGCGGCTGTCGAATGTCGATGTTCCTGCGCCGGCGCTGTTCACGTGGTGGGCCATCGGTGCCGGTGCCGGTAGCGGTATACCTCAACTGCAAGTCTTCAAAAGTAGAGTATTAGCAGGATTTTGGAATCGATCATGCCCAAGTACCATATATGTTACGATATAAAAAAAAACTGAACCTGCGAGGGTATCACCGTCTCAGGCATTGCATGAAGAAGAAGATCTTCTTACGCAGACCTAGAAAACCCCCAATTGCTCCTGCCCCCATCCTTCTTAGACCTGTGGTTTGGCGTGGGACAGACGAAGAGATTTTTTAACCCCAGTCTAAAATTCGCTCCCACAGGGAGTCGAACTAAGGACCTGAAAAGTGCCGTCGGAACGCTCTAACCTCTAGACACCCTTTGGCATGTTACGATACTCGCGTTTGTGCACCTGCAGGTCCTCAGACTATTCTATGCGGGCGACATACTCCATCTAGGCTATGTTTAGTTCCCTAAATTTCTGAATTTGGCACTATGCAAAAAGAAGATTTTCCGTCATATCAAACTTGCGGTACATGCATGAAGTACTAAATGTAGACGAAATCAAAAACTAATTGCACAGTTTGATTGTACTTTGCGAGACGAACGTTTTGAGCCTAATTAGTCAATGTTTGGACAATTATTACCAAATACAAACGAATATGCTACAGTGCGCTATAATATTTTTGGTGGCGCCGAATTAGGGGAACTAAACATGGCCCTAGTCCAATCATCAATCAGCCTATCGGGATTCAGGAAAGACACCTTTGCTAAGGCAAAAGGCCACTGCAGTTGCATTGCATTGGTTCATCAAAAAACCGAGCCACCAGTTCACCATAGTCAAATTCCATCCACACACCTGACAGCAGCCAGTGAGTACATGAAGCTATGTCGAGTTTTCAAAGCCTCGTTTTAGTTTCCTTGCATGCTTATCCGATGAATGAAGCGTCGTCAAAAGGCCGGAAACACACACAGTCGCCGGTCACAGTCACCGGCGTCGTCTGGTACTACGCAAAAACGTGTCGGGGGTGGCCGGCCACAGATGAAGCCTTTCGCCGCGCTCGTGGTCAGGGCCGGCGTGTGGGAGACGGTCCAGCATCCGCACCTGACCTCCAAAGCGCCGAGACCCGGACAGGTGATGGGCGGGCGTGGTCCAGCTCCGGCATTCCCTCTTTCCATCCTCAGCTGAAGATCGGAAAACCAAACCAACGCCGAAAAAGAAAGCCCGAAACAGTTGGTGCGACTGTGCCACCAGCGAAGCCCGAAACCTTTCGGATATTCTAGCTTTGTCCTTTGCCTTTTCGTTTCTTTCTTTGACGAGAGGGGCCGAGGCCGAGACTGTCTGCAACACTAGTCACACTCATTGACCACATCTGTGAGTCCACGGTCCACCACCAGTACGTGTCCATTCAATTCAACTGGGTAATCCCATAAGGACGAATTTTTTGCTGTGGCGACAGTATTTAATTGAACATGAATATATACATGATTTAGCATGTACAGTAATAATGATCCAACCAGGCAACCACCTCTACGAGCTTGCAGCAGTTTTAGCGTCGCTTCTAGTTGATGCTGCCTTCACCATACATAACATCATCTAGTCCTCCATGTCACCATGTCGATCCTATCAGCTCATCAGCAGAAGATTATGCTGCAGAATAATAATATATATCCGAGTTTAATTACGATGCTCCTAGTTTATTTGGCTTATGCAGAGCTTCGTTTCCAGTTTCAAAAAAAGAACTCACTTTAGCTTGGACTCTCTCCAAGTCCAAGCAAGCCGAGTCGAGCAACTTTATTTCGTCCTGCAGAAATGTACTAGCCCCGACAGATTCGGTGACGGCCTTATCTGCAGCCTCGCTCGTCACCCACGGTCGACGGGAGAACCTGTCCTTTCTTTTCGTCCACCTCTTTGTCCCTGTGTGGTCCTGCAGCCTATTCACTTGCTCGTAAACGATCGTAAATTTCCAGTCGAGAACAGTGTTTTTCTCTCACACCAAACCAGCCAGCAGTAAATAATCCACGATACGATACGGCCTCCCGAACAGGCCACTGATGTTTCCACACGTTCTAACGTCCAAGCCAGTTGCCCTGACGCTGACCGGCCGGCAGCCCGGCACGCATACTTTCCCCTAGCAACAAAGGCTGCTAAAGGCAAAATCTATCCCTATTTTTTTCGAGCCCCTTTTCGAGCCCCCCGATCGTGAAATCCTGGCCGTCCGTTCTCCTATAAAGAGCGCCCCCCATCTGGCCATCTGCGAGTGGACATGCAAACAAAAAACATCCCCACTCTGCAACTACTCCTATCTCCCTATTCTTCTTCAGTTCTTCGTCCTCTTCTCCCGTCATCGATCCAAAACGAGAAGCGACCGCCACTCCCCTGCCATGGTTTCGCACGTGACGCTCACCATCCTCTTCGGCTACGCAGCCGTGTTCTGGTGCCTCGATGCCCTTTCAGAGGCCGCCAAGATCCAGACTCCAAGGAGTGCCTTCGTCCCGCTGACCACCTTCGGCCTCACGTCGCTGCTCCTGTTCGCCCACGTTCGCGCGCTCGGCGGTGCGAACGCGGCCACCGGTGCTGCTGCGGCGGCCCGGCGTCGACGTTTCCTGGACCGCCTCGCGAACGCGGCGCTGGCAGCGACGGCGGCGGCTCTGCTCGCGGGCGCCGTGCTGTGGCTCGGTACCGACGGCGACCTCGGCGGCGCCTGGCTCAGCACAGAGTAAGAACCATCCTCCCTCTTGCCATTGTGAGTGACATCGGGTGCCTCTTGGCGGTGTCGTAGCCAGGACTGGTAGTCTGGTAGGCGTTCTAGTCCTACACGTTCAGTCACCGTCACCGGTCTGTCTGACACAGGGGAGCCAGGGACTGGATATGCTCACTTGTAGTAAAGCCGTTTGATGCCAGTGTAACGCTGAGGATGTTGTTTTGTTTCCGTCAATATACGATGTTGTTGTTCGATGAGATTTCGTTAAATCTTGTATTTTTTTTCTCTCCTTTCTGTGTGCTTTGAAAGATCTTCCACCGGCTCGCCGGAATCAATGGAAAATCCATTCAGGTGGGGCTCTCACCCCTCCGGTGATATCTTAAAAAAAAACTAGTAGCACGAAAAAGTGCCAATTTCATTGCAATCTGTGGACAAGAAGGGGTTACATCTATCTGATTTCCACTCGTGTCCGCTCACAGATCTTGAACAGAGACACAGAATCCTTTCTCTCTTGATGACGTTCAAAGCCAAGCGTGGTGCGTGTGTCTGTGTTTTGTGATGCTTGTTTTTCTATTTGTGTTATAGAGTCTTTCCCTGGCTACCAGCAGGAGCCCATGTCGTGTCAAAGTGCTGCAAAAATTATGCTGATTCTTGTTCTTTCTTGTTTCGCTGGTTACTTTACTTTCCTTCTCAACACACGTTTTTTTCATTAAAAGTTTCCTTTTACTCCTATTTCCCCCCCCCTTCAACTAGCTAGAATCCATATGTTGTAGCTATACAGTATTTTTATCTGTTTCATTCACACTTTTCTCTTCTCTACTAAACATTCAAAGCCCAATCTCATGATCTGGTGCGGTTCAGATAACTTCTTTACAACGGTTTCTATTTTCTTTTAACAAAAATAAAATAATAGGGGATTTCATGTCTTCAGTAATCAATATTTATTGTATATATCCCACATCCTTGAGAAAACATCCATGCATGAGCTACAATATATGGGAATAATTTTCGTCTCTGAAAATTAAGTGCGCACTCGGGCTGCCTTCTTTTTTCATTTTCCTTTGGGTTTAGCAGAAGCAGCATCACTATCCAAGAACACTACGAATAATGGTGAAAAAATATACTACCCACGAGTATCGCTACAGTGGATAGTCAAGTCAACAACATTTTCGTACGCTGGACAAAGATTCTCCTTTGTGGATGATCTATAGCCTATCTGAATGATACTGTAGCCCAGGAATTCCATGTTGAGTTGTTGACCAACACGGCATGTTGACCAATAGCGGCAATGCTTGGGACTAAAAGTTCGGCCAAACAGGATTAAATGTGGCTTGAAAAAAAGAAGAAGAAAAAGAGGTACTTGTCAATAAGAATACATTTCATATTATATAAGATATAAGTTGCCCGTGTTCATATACTTGAGAAGAAGGTGCTAATTAACCGATTACTAACAACACAGAACTACTAGGCCAGCTAGCAGCAGCCGCTACGCGGCCAGACAGCGAAATTGAAGTCCGAAGATGGCGAAGAACGTTTCTAGAAGCTGATCCAGCCTAGCCAGACATTGAATAAGTTAGGGTATGGAAGAACGCTTCTAGAAATTGATCAAGCCGGCCCAGACAGTGAAATTCAGGTCCGGCCAATAAGGAATAACGCTCAGTCTTCTAGAGGCTGAACTAATATCACTCATCTTGTGTAAATTACTCCCCCTATTTCAAAATAGGTGCATATTTCACACTTCGAGGAATCAACTAATATAATAAAGTTTAACTAGATTTATATAGCATTTGTATCTCTAAATAGGTTTATATTATAGAAATATATGACATGATTAATTTAATGGTGCAAATATTAACATTATAAATATGGATATTTTTATATATTGGTAAAATTTAAGATTGTTTGTACTTATTTTGAGACGTTGAGAGTAAATAGAGCATATACGGTACCTGAGACCTCTACAGCTTTTGCTCTGGTACTTGGCGCCTACCTTCCTCCTGGCTTTTGGTTTCTTCTCTCTAGACTTGACGTTCAGGAGAATCGATCGTCGGAACACGAAGGGCATCATCCATGCGGCGGCCACTACTAAAAAAGGCGTCCGTAGCAAGTGATAATTTTTTTTTAAGGCGGCTGCTGATAGAGTCGTCCATACAGGAGCATGCTTGGAAGCCACGATATCAGCCGCCCCTACAAATGAAATAGTAGGGCCGGCTGGTGATACGAGCCG